CCAAGAATAGAGAGCATACATAGAAAAAATGTCATGATGGTAATGTAAATACAATTACATTAATAAACTAAATATTAACTGACCAATGATTCCCATTAAAAGATTATCCTCACAAATATAAAAACAATAACAGTAATATTATGCTTATGAGAGATGTAGTTTAAATACTGGGAATTCCCTGGTGATCCAGGACTTAGAGGACTCTGGGCACTCAAGCTGAGGGACTAGGTTCAGTCCTTGGTTCAGGAAATAAAGTCCCACAAGCTGCGTGATAAAAGAACAAAACAAACAAATAAATTAAAATATGCAAAGGAGCTGAAAGAAGGACAAAAACTAACACTAATGATAAGCCAGCATGGCAATATTAATAGAAGTAACCATTAGACAATTATAACCACCGACAATGAGCATTTCATAAAGAAAGGATGAATTCACCTAGAAGACCTAAAAATTTGAAATGTAAATGAACCTAATAAAAGTGTTTATCATATAAGAAGCCAAACAACCCCACCAATAACAAGAAAACAACAATAAACAGAGCTAAAGGGAGAAATACACAATTATTGTTGGAGATATTAACACTCCTTTCTCCATAATTGATAGATGAGGCATATATAGCCCTTAATTTCTCTCTGACTGAAGAGGTTGCACCCAGAAGAAAGAAGGCAGAAGACACAGTCTAACCTTCTTGTCAACATGATAGCTACGTCTTTTCTAAATAGAATAATAATATTTGCTAGGAATAGAGACCTTTATGTATAGAACATGTTCCAAAGAAGGGTGAATAATCCTTTAAGAAGGATGAATAATCCTGGTTGAATATTTCTTTATTACACATTTTGTAAATAAATACTGAATGTGAATTTATGAGGCATGGGTCCCTGGGTAAGGTCATATAAGCTACACAACCCTCTGGGAGTACTTAATAGAGATGTTTTATAAATCAAATGCTTCCCTTCTAAGTGAAACAACTCTACAAAAACTAACTTGGAGTCCTTATATATTACTGTGGTCCATAGAGTGTCTAATAAAGGAATATACATGCAAAGCTGAACTCAATGTCTCTGATCTCTTCTTGGTTTGTCTAAGCCTCTTGATTGCCTCCTTTATGTCTAAAATTGATAATAAAGTTTCATAGTAAGTTACTGATATATGTGGGTTTAACAGGCAACCTAATGCTTTGGGTTAATAAAACGGTAAAAGTAGGGGGGAGAATTCAATATAAAATTTTTTTTTAATTTATTTATTTTTTCATTTATTTTTATTAGTCGGAGGCTAATTACTTTACAATATTGTAGTGTTTTAAAAGACTGTCAACCAATTTTAACTAATTGATATTTATAGAATACCACATCCAACAGTGCAAGCACATCATTTTTAGATGGACATGAGAGGTTCGCCAAGATGAAGAATACAGTGAGCTATAAGTTTACATACATTTAATATACTAAAATCATACAGAGTGTTCTCAGGTCACAATGAATTTAAATCAGAAGTCAATAACACTAAGGGTAGATACAAAATCCTCAAAGTTTTAAAAAGTTAGCAACACACTTCTAAACAATACATGAGTCAAATGGGAAACAAAATTTTAAATAATTTAAATTAGATTATTAGACAATATGTCAAAATTATTTGTGGAATGCAACTAAAGCAAGGTTTAAAGCAATGAGAAATTTAAAGCATTAAATGTTAAGGTTAGAAAAGAAGATTCAGAACCACTCATCTAATCTTCTACCTAAAGAACCTAACAAAAGAAGGGTGAAAGTAAACCTAAAGGAAATAGAAGGAAAAATTAAGATAACGGCAGTCAATGAAAAAGGAAAGCAGATGTGCAACAGAATAAAGCTAACAAAGCCAACATTTGGTGTTTTGAAATGGTTAGTAAAATTTATAACACCCTAGCAAGATTGACTGAGAAAATAAAAATTTCCAGTCCAAAATATACTGAAACTAGAGGTGATAGTTGGACAACATTCTGAGTGTACTAAATATCACTGAACGGTTTACTTTAGAATGCTTAACTTTATACGAATTTCACCTCACTAAATTAGTTTTTAAAAATAAACAAAATTTAAAGCACTTCAAAATTTTGACATCATAAATCATAGCACATCTTTGTCTACATATAATTTTGGTGAAAGTAATGTATTCAAAGCATTCTCAGAAAAATGTCAGTGTCATAATATCTTGTGATATTTATCAGTGGTCTGATAAAATGAGCACTGACCATAGAGAATGTATTCGAAATGTGACCATAATAACAAGTATTCTGGTCATAAACAGTATAAAGATGACTTAAGGTACAACTCCTTAATTTCTTAAAATTCAGTTGTTCTTGAGAGGAATAACCTGGAATAAAGTTTGGCTCACAAATTATCAAGATCAACCTTGTAGCATAGGTATATGGGAAAAAATCCTTGTTCTTACTAGAATATACGGTTTCCTTAAGAAAAAAGGATGGTCTATTGTTTATGCTGAATTTTCACATAAAACTAGTGTGGTGCACTGTACATATTGCTACTCAGTATATATATGCTGTGTCAAACCAAACTGCTTGATTTTCCAATAGAGCTCTGTATATGATCCTTCTTAATTCTGATGCTAGTTGAAACTATGCCCATATAATAATGCCGAAGAATAACTGAAGACTTACCAGTGAAAGAATTTGGACTCTGGAGTCTATGAGCCTACATTTAAATCTCAGTGTAGTGCCTTAGTAAACATCTATACTAACTTTGGTAAGTTGACTAACATCTCTGAACTTTTCCTCCTTAGAGGCAAGTTTTCTTATTTGCAAAATAGGGATGATGGTAATTTTTAGGGCACGGTATGTAAGAACTGCAATGATAAAACCCCAAGTAACATCTCTGCTGTTTGCATACTTGCCCAGCATTTTGCTCTGTACATATATGAATTATCTCACTTAATATTTTAACCATTCCATCAAGTATCTGTGATCCTTAATTTATAAATGCAAACTGGTGGTTAGAAACTTGTCCAAGTCATAAGTGTAGTCATCACCTGGCTGATGGGTAGGCCAGAAATAGAAAATGAGCCTGTGGTCTACCAACCACTTCACACACACACACACATACACACACACACACACACACACTCACACACAAACCCTCAATAAATGGAGATATTATAATTAATTTCAACTACTAGAGTAATCTCAATCATGATTATGAAAGAAGGAAATCATCTTAGAGCCATTTCCAATTTGAAAATAAGGGAAATACAAATACAGGCAAAATAGAGAATAAGTTGGGCAAAGAAAAATCTTCTGGTGAGAAATAAAAGAGAAAACATATACAATTTTCTAATGCTAAAATAAAAAAGACATCTTTTTATGATCAATTCCACTGTGGCTAGAAAGGCAGGAAAAGGAAAAAAGGTGGATCAAATAGCCTAGTTCAAGCCATGAAATACAAAAAGGTATTAAGGGGAATTTCACTACCCCAAGGAGATTTTGGATATACATCTATAACTATATACACATCTATATCTGTATCTGGAATCAAGATAGCCTGGAGAAACATCCATAACCTCAGATATACAGATGACATCACCCTTATGGCAGAGAGTGAAGAGGAACTAAAGAGCTTCTTGATGAAAGTGAAAGAGAAGAGTGAAAATATTGGCTTAAAACTCAACATTCAAAAAATGAAGATCATGGCATCTGGTCCCATCACTTCATGGCAAATAGATGGGGAAACAATGGAAACAGTGACAGACTTTATTTTCTTGGGTTCTAAAATCACTGAGGATGGTGACTAGAGCCATGAAATTAAAGACGCTTGCTCCTTGGAAGAAAAGCCATGACAAACCTAGACAGTGTACTAAAAAGCAGAGACAGCACCTGGCTGACAAAGGTCTGTCTAGTCAAAGCTATGCTTTTCCCTGTGGTCATGTATGGATGCAAGAGTTGGACCACAAAGAAGACTGAGCGCTGAAGAATTGATGCTTTGGAACTGTGATGCTAGAAAAGACTTGAGAGTCCCTTGGACTGCAAAGAGATCCAACCTGTCAATCCTAAAGGAAATCAGTCCTGAATATTCATTGGAAAGACTGATGCTGAAGTTCCAGTACTCTGGCCACCTGATCTGAAGAGCCAAATCACTGGAAAAGACCCTGATGCTGGGAAAGATTGAAGGCAGGAGGAGAAGGGGACGACAGAGGATGAGATGGTTGGATGGCCTCACTCACTCGATGGACGTGAGCCTGAACAAGCTTCAGGAGATGCTGAAGGACAAGGAAGCCTGGTGTGCTGCAGTCTGCAGGGTTGCAAAAAGTCAGACATGACTGAGCAACTGAACAATACCAACAATATCTGTATCTATAAATTTAGCTACATTTATCTCTCAAAGGAAACTTGGTCTCTGATGAATTTAGAATTATCTGGAAAAAAATCTTAAAATCTAACAGAAAGGGTATATGGATTAATGTAAACAATGATTAATAAATTTTAAAATGTTATTTTACTCCCAGGTACTTTTAATTCTGAAAATTTACCTCTAATAATAATAAATGTGATGGTTAATAATTTTTCTTTCTTCTCATACTTGGCTGTCTCAAATATTTTAAAACAATGATTTAGCTATGTTATTAATTATTACTATAAGAGATCTGGATATTGGGGTCACAAAGCCATTTATAAGGTACTAGATTCTGGAAGAGGAAATCAATAACTTTTTGAGTTCTGACTTTTCAATACTTACATTGTGTAAAAAGAAAAACACCAAGAATACACAAAAGTGGGTTGACTGGAGGACAGGAGAAGGGGCCATAGACTATGTCCCAATAACAGAGTCTACCCTTTAATAAATGTTTTAGGGCAGATAGGGAGGAAAGGATAACAAAAGGAAATTTGGGAATTCCACAAAGATGGCCAAACCCAGAAATCCTGAGATGGGAGGGGGAACCTAAATAACTTGGCTAGGATGCAGATTTTGTGCCAGAAAGGCAACACATGACAAAAGGGATTAAACACTTACTTCAAGCCATTGTGGAACAACCTCTTATAGTCAACATTTATTCTAGTGATATTTTCTTTTCTAAGTTCTTCAATGGTGAATAACCGGCCAATGTGCTGAAAACCAGGAGCTTTGCTCCTGACATACTTCCTATCAGAACCTGGTAACCAAAAAATCTGCAAGGAGAAACAGGAAGTCTTTCAGTGGAAAATCAGCTGTGTTGGTACAAACAGCCCCATGTAGAATGGGAGGAGTCTCATTCCAGCATGGGTAACAGTCTATAGGGAGCAGAGATTCTAACTTTTGATGAATGAGTCAACCTGCCTTAATGTTGTCCAGTGAACTCTTAAAATGGGGCTGTCACCAGTTTTGTTCTGGAGCTGAGTTTTCCCAGTTAACATAATGGGACCAAAGGTGAATTGTGTCACCACACTAGCTAAAGTGGATGAGGAGTTTGTAGGTGTGGATATGGGTCAGGATCATAAACATCTCCTCTGGCTGATGATGCTATAAATCATTTTTGAGAAGAGTCATTTTCTGCCAACAGGAGATGCTATTATGACTCATCTGTGCAAAGAGTTCTATTCGCAAAAAGACACATATTTGTTTCTCTCATAGCATTTTTCCACATTCTGAAAATTAAAGATATTTGGAATGACTGACTGACAAAATGCAGAGCATTCTGGTAAACATGATGAATGAATCTCTGTTCAAGTAAGAACTTTCTATATCATAAATGAAAGCTGGTATCCAAAGCCATAGTGTTCCATACTCAGGCCCTTTTCTAATAGATGTACATTGGTGATGATGCAGCTCACATCATATAGCCATTACATAAATTCCCTTTTACTTCATTTGGTTTGGAACAGCAAACAGCCTCAATGTTTTCCCCACCGATATTAATTTAACTGGCTCATTCTTAGATTGGCACATGTATTGAGTTGACCAAAAATTTTGTTTTCTTTTTTTTTCCCTGTAAGATGGCTGTAGCAGCACTGAGCTGTCTTTAACTTCATTTTAAACAATGTTCTTATATTGCATTGTAACAGCTGACACTCATCAGTGAACATTTAAAAAAACATAAATTTGGAGAATTTTTGTATAGCCATTTTAACATTGAAGATGGAAGAAAAAGTCACATTTTTCACATATTATGCTTTATCATTTCAAGAAAGGTAAAAACACACCTGAAATGCAAAAAAAAAAAAAAAGATTTGTGCCATGTATGGAGAAGGTGCTGTGACTGACGGAACATGTTAAAAGTGATTTGTGGAAGTTTCATGCTGGAGATTTCTCACTAGATGATCCTCCATGATCATAAAGACCAGTTGAAGTTGAGAGCGTCCAAATCAAGTGTAGAAAACAATTTTTACCACCTTGGTTATGTTAATTGCTTTGATGTTTGCATTCCACATAAATTAAGCAAAAAAAAAAAAAAAAAACCTTCCTGAAGGTATTTTTGCATGAGATTCTTTACTTAAACATATTGAAAATGTTAAGTATTAAAACATATTGTGATGGGTGATGAAAAGCAGATTCTGTACAATAATGTGGAATTGAAGAGCCCATGGGGCCAGCAAAACAAATCACCACTAAACACAGCAAAGGCTGTGTTCATCCAAAGAAGGTGATGATGTATCGGGTGGGACTGGAAGGGAGTTCTCTATTATGAGCTCTGTCCAGAACACCAAATGATTAATTATTCAAGTACCGTTCCCAATTAGACCAACTGAAAGCAGCACTCAACGACAAGCAACCAGAATTAGTCAACAGAAAACGAAAAATCTCTCAGCAGGATAATGTAAAACCACCTGTTTTCTTGATGACCAGGTAAAAACTGCTACAGCTTAGGCGGGAAGTTCAGATTTCATCTGTTGTATTCAGCAGACACTGCATCTTTGGATTTCCATTTCTTTTGGTCTTTATAAAATTCTCTTAATGGAAAAAATTTCAATTCCCCAGAAAACTGTAAATGGCACCTAGAACAGTTCTTTGCCCAAAAAAAAATAAGTTTTGGGGAGATGAAATTATGAAGTTGCCTGAAAAATAGCAGAAGATAAGGCTTCCCAGGTGGCACAATGGTAAAGAATCCATCTGCCAGTGCAGGAGTTGCAGGAGACATGGGTTTAATCTCTGGGTTGGAAAGAATCCTTGTAGTAGTAAATGGCAACCCACTCTAGTACATGGACAGAGGAACCAGGCAGGTTATACTCCATAGGGTTGCAGATAATTGCACACAATTGAGCACACACCTTTACCTTATTCTAAGTGAAACAAAACAGTGAATACATTGTTCAATAAACTTCTTGGTGAAAATGAAAAATGTGTCTTATTTTTACTTAAAAACTGAAAGAATTTTTGGTCAACCCTGTAGCTAGCTATATAAGCAGCCAATTCCATTTCTCTAGGAGTAGAATTGTTTAAGCATTCCAGGGAAGATCTACAAGGTTCATCAGGTTCAAATGCTTTGCTCCTGAAACAAGTAACCCACTTCCCAAAATTTAGCATAAATACTGAGATAGACATACCTGATGTTGCTCAATCTTAGAGTCAAGTATCACGCTTACTACAAGGTGGATATACGATGATCTGGCAGGATGTGATCGTGGAGGAGAATTAAGATCAAATATAACCAACTTTTTTTCCTTCCGTGCAAGTTCCAATAACTCAGATAGTTTTGGAATCTTCTGATTTCTTGCTCTTTCCTTATCAGCCTCTGATAAGGGTTTCATACGAAAAAATGGTTTGATCTAAAAATAAGTACATCAGAGAAATCATTGGCTCCTATCAAAAGTATTTTCCAATTCTCATGCTTTTAGCCCCACAGCAGCCCTATCTCTGTACTAATCCATTACCACTCAACCCATCAGGTTTTCTGAAATACTGGTCCTTAGACAACAGATGCCAAGAAGAGAAATAAAATATAATCTCCATAGCTAGTGATGGTATTTGCAATGATAAAGGAAATATAATAATGTGGAATTAAAGAGACCATGTGGCCAGAAAAATGAATCTCCATTAAGCACATCAAGGGCTGGTCTGCACTCAAAAAAAGTGATGGTGTGTATGGTGGGATTCTAAGGGAGTTCTTTATTATGAGGTCCTTCCAGAAAACCAAATGAATAATTCTGCAAGTACTGCTCCCAATTAGACCAACTGAATGCAGCAATCAACAACAAGCCTGTCACAATATGTTTTTTAAAAAAAGAAATGCAACAAGTCAAAATGGTCATCTGAGGAGGCCTTACAAATAGCTGAGAAAAGAAGAGAAGTGAAAGGCAAAGGAGAAAATGAAAGATATACCCATCTGAATTCAGCATTCCAAAAAATAGCAAGGATAGATAAGAAAGTCTTAGGTGAACAATGCAAAGAAATAAAGGAAAACAATAGAATGGGAAAGACTAATGATCTCTTCAAGAAAAGTGGAGATACTGAGGAAACATTTCATGCTAAGATTGGGCACAATAAAGGACAGAAATGAAGTGGACCTAACAGAAGCAGAAGATACTAAGAAGAGGTGGCAAGAATACTCAAAAGAACTGTACAAAAAGGTCTTCATGACCCAGATAACCACAATGGTGTGGTCACTCACCTGGGCCAGATATTCTGGACTGTGAAGTCAAGTAGGCCTTAGGAAGCATTACTGTGAACCAAGCTAATGGAGCTGATGGAATTCCAGCTGAGCCACTTCAAATTCTAAAAGATGATGTTGTTAAAGTGCTGCACTCAATATGCCAGCAAATTTGGAAAATTCAGAGTGGCCACAAGACTAGAAAAGGTCCGTTTTTATTCTAATCCCAAAAAGGACAAAGCCAAAGAATGTTCAAACTACTGCACAATTGCACTCATTTCACATGCTAGCAAGGTAAAGTTCAAAATTCTCCAAGCAAGGCTTCAACAGTACGTGAACCAACTTCACGAATTACAGGCAGGGTTTGGAAAAGGCAGAGGCAGATTCATGTTGATATTTGGCAGAAAACAACAAAATTCTGTAAAGCAATTATCCTTCAATTAAAATAAATAAATAAACTTTTAAAAAAAGAAAATGCAGAGGAACTATAGATCAAATTGCCAACATCCACTGGATCATAGAAAAGCAACAGAATTCCAGAAAACCATCTACTTCTGGTTCATTGACTATGCTAAAGCCTTTGACTGTGTGGATCACAACAAACTGTGGAAAATTCTGAAAGAGATGGGAATACAAAATCATCATACCTACCTCCTGAGAAACCTGTATGCAGATCAAGGAGCAACATTTAGAACTGGACATGGAACAACGGACTGGTTCCAAATTGGGAAAGGAGTACATCAAGGTTGTGTATTGTCACCCTGCTTATTTAATTGATATATAGAGTATATCATGAGAAATGCCAGGCTGGATGAATCACAAGCTGGAATCAAGATTGCCAGGAGAAATATCAACAGCCTCAGATATGCACGTGATACCACCCAATGGCAGAAAGCAAAGAGGAATTAAAGACCTCCTGATGAAGGTGAAAGAGGAGAATGAAAAAGCTGGCTTAAAACTCAACATTCAAAAAAACTAAGATCATGGCATCTGGTCCCGTCACTTCATGGCATATAGATGGGGAAACAATGGAAACAGTGAAAGACTATTTTCTTGGGTTTCAAAACCACTGTGGATGGTGACTGCAACCATGAAATTAAAAGATGCTTGCTCTTTGGAAGAAAAGTCATGACAAACTTACAAGGAGTATTCAAAAACAGAGACATCACTTTGGCAACAAAGGTCCATCTAGTCAAAGCTATGGTTTTTCCAGTAGTCATGGATGCCAGAGTTGGATCATAAAGAAGGCTGAGTGCCAAAGAATTGATGCTTTCAAACTGTGGAGCTGGAAAAGACCTTTGAGAGTCCCTTGGACTGCAAGGAGATCAAACCAGTCAATCTTAAAAGAAATCCACCCTGAATACTCACTAGAAGAACCGATGCTGAAATTGAAGACACAATACTTTGGCCACCGGATGCAAATGCTGGGAAAAATTAAGAACAGGAGGAGAAGGGAATGACAGAGGATGAGATGGTTGGATGGCATCATAGGTCAATGGACATGAGATTGAAACAACTCCGGGAGACAGTGAAGGACAGGGAAGCTTGGTATGCTAGAGTCCATGGGGTCACAAAGATTCAGACATGAATGAACAACTGAGCAACAACAATTCTATAACATAGAACCTGCTGTATTTGCATTGAAGGGTATCCTTAATCTTCTCTAGACCTCCCTTTTCAACCCTTTTTTAAAACTTAAGGTGATAAAATTCATATTTTCTTTCATTGGTTACCCACATTTTCTCTTACTGTTTTAGTTATTTGTAGTGGAAAAAAAAAGACTTCAGCTTCAGGCTAAATTGGACTCAATCCCCACTCTATCACTTTGCCCTCCTCGTTGTGTGTGTGTGTGTGTGTGTGTGTGTGTGCGCGCGCGCGCGCACGTGCACACAAAATGCGCCCTCTGTCATGTTCAACTCTTTGCAACCCCATGGAGTGTAGCCCAATCTGCCTGGCTCCTCTGTCAATGGGATTTTCTTGGAAAAAATACTGGAGTGGGTTGCCATTTCCTTCTCTAAGGGATATTCCTTGCCATATTCAACTGTTAAAATCCTTTCCTCTATTTGCAAAGTTTAGCTCAAATGATACCTCCTTCATGAAGACATCTTCAAATATTTCTGAACTAAAGAGAGCTTGGTGGCATTCAAGTCCAATGGTTCATTTTTAAGCCTCTTTAATACTGTTCTCTATCGTTGTTTGTATACATCTTATACCAAATTCAATTTCTGGCTTTCATACGCTCTTGCTTTGTAACCTTGATAAAATCACTTATATTCTCAAAGTCTCTATTATCCAAACTATAAGATGGGGAAAGGGAGGAATAATCTACGTATTTCTCAGGGTTATTTTGTTTATTGAATATGATAAAATATTTTCTAGGCCTAGGAGACTGTCTTGTACACAAAATATTGTGCAATTCACAATAGTTCCCTCACTCTACTGTTTCTACTGACGGCAACTTTCTCGCAGCAGGAACTGTCACTTTTTTGTATATTATACAGCATTTCATCTTACATCTCAGTCCATATATATGTTGCCTGTATTAAACTTAGTAGATGGCTACTTTTACCATTTTAACCAATTTTAGATCACTTGTTGGTGACGCTGGTGAGAGAAGGCTATCTCTTGGAGGAATGAAAGAGTAGCTGCCTCACATTTTCTCAAGACTAAAGTATGCTCTCTTTGTCTCCACATAATTTTTTTCTTCACACTTATTCCACTGTTTGTATTTGTTCCCATTCCTATTCATAAAAAACAGAAACCAAAAAGACCTTCGGTGATCTCAAAATATCTATTCAACAGTCATCTTTGCTGAACTTGCGCACCTTCATGATCTTCCAGATAACCATAAATCTTTTCTCTTTAAAAGTACTCAAAGCAGGAGGCCAAGGTCTAAATCTATCAACAAATTAACACACATCAAAGACTCATTATTTAAAGCCTATTCCTTGATCTAGGAGTAACACTTTTTATTTTTGCCTCAGGAAAAAAAATTCAGTCTTGGCCACATTAGTCATCTCCTCATAGCCTGTACAATGAGACTTTAGAGGAAAGGTTTTAGCAGATCATCACACTATACAGAATGCTCTGACTAAAGTCCTTAGACAAGGGCCTCTTTCACAGAAGACAGACCAGTCTATGGAATTCACATAACCCATCACTGATGTGTAGCACCTGACCCCCAATTCTGGAAAGAAACACTAGATCAACTTGGGTTTTGAGCTTCATGGTGGCAAACTGGTAGTACCCACTAAGCTCAAATGGGTATTTCTTCAAATCTGCCAGGATACAACTCACCACAGTAGGAGAAACTGACTACAGTATTTTTTTTTTTTTTTACTGTGCAGGGTCTTTGTTGCTGTGTGTGGGCTTCCTCTAGTTGGGGCGAGTTGGGGCTACTCTCTAGTTGCACAGAACAGGCTTCTCATTGCAGAGACTTCCACTGCTGTGGAGTACGGGATCTAGGGCACGCAGGCTTCCAGTTATGGTACATGGGCTTATTTGCCATGCAGCATGTAAACTCTTCCCAGACAAGAGATTAAACCCATGTACCCTGAATTGGCTGGCGGATTCTTAACCACTGGGCCATTGTGTAAGTCCAAAGTCACTATGCTGCTGCTGCTGCTAAATCGTACCAGTCGTGTCCGACTCTGTGCGACCCCATAAATGGCAGCCCAACAGGCTCCCCCGTCCCTGGGATTCTCCAGGCAAGAACACTAGAGTGGGTTGCCATTTCCTTCTCCAATGCATGAAAATGAAAAGTGAAAGTGAAGTCACTCAGTCGTGTCCAACTCTTCGAGACCCCATGGACTGTATCCTACCAGGCCCCTCTGTCCATGGGATTTTCCAGGCAAGAGTACTGGAGTGGGTCGCCAGTGCCTTCTCTGAAAGTCACTATAGTATGAAACAAAAACCGATGGGGTAGCTTTCTAAGACATCAAAAGATATGAGCACTTCTTCCCTAATCTATAACCAGCATAATTCTAGAAAAATTATAAAGGTCAGACATGAATTGGAACCTTGCGCCAAAGGATCCTTTGAGGATCTCCAAATAAATTTTATTCAGTTTCTTCCCTCTGTGGGTTATGAATTTCTGCCAGTAATTATGTGCTTATTTGGGTTATTATATATTTGTGTTCTTTACCTAAGCCATTCCAACCTAGCTATTTAGTGAGAGGT